AGAATAGCACGATGATATCTGCCAATCAGTATCCCTTCATCACACATAATAAACTCACCCCTATCCTTCTGCGACATGTATACATCTTGAAGAAGTAATCAATCTTACAGAACCAGCATAACAATAGCTGGCCGATAGTGTGTACTCTTCGTTGCAACATAATACATACATCACAGAATAGGTGCGGCTAGGCATTAGGGTGTATCGGAGGGAAGGCGACATTACGGGATGTCGAGGTATCAGCCTGCGACTGTCCTCCAGGGGGGGCATGGGAGATTGGCTGGTGGCCGGGGCACATTAGGTAAAGGGGCGGACCTTCCTCCCTCTGGAGCACCTGCCACCTGGGCAGCGGTAGTAGTAGTACCGCCCTCTGTACCTCCACCAGTAGTAACAGTAGTTCCTGTATCCCCTGTACCTCTCGCACCAGTAGAAGCGCTGCCAGTTGTTGGGGCGCCACCCAGACTGATATTCCCGTCTGCTGCTCTGCAGAGGCGTGCTCGGATCAAAATCTGACGGGAAGGAAGGGGACGGAAGGAGACTAGGGCTGAGGTCGAAGTTATTGCTAAGGTCGAAGTGACGTAAAGGCACAAGAATGCACTAGTGCACCATGCCCTCGAGGTTAATGGTACTTGCCATTATATTTAGGAGCGGCCGTGGCGATGGCAAGGGATGCCAGGATGAGGGTTAGCAGGAGCAGGCCGCTCGTGCGCTTCATGACGACCTAGAATTGCTATCCCGAGATGCTGATGAGGACTTAAATGCACCTGGAATGTATTCCTGTTGGATAATTAGGTATTCGCAAGGAATTCGAGGGCCTTTGCACAGCATTTATGCCTTCCAGCTCTGAAGCCACCTGAATGTCCGCTGAAGTCGGCCATGGCGGATCCATGATCGGCAGTCACTCGCAGCTGTGCGCTCTGGAGTTTCATATTGCGGCATCAAGGCCATGCTGACTGCTTTTTACATAAGCTTCGACATCGCAGCTTCGGTGGTAAGGAAAAGCAGCACGTTACCGACATGATTCCGTACAGTGACTCGGTGTCACTCGACATCCACGATCATGATGACTGTGCCCAGAAGTGTGCAGAGTGGCTACACGATACTCGAACAATACGCAGCCTTGCAGATTAATCTGAAATTGAGTATACATTGGTGCGTCACATATGAAGAGTGCGAAGGGACGCGGACTCGAGCTGCCTGAATTTGAAAGAAACTCGGGGACGACGGACATGCACATGTTGAGGCACCAGGCGCTATACAGATGCACTGTATCTCTGCGTCAAACGTTCGTAGCACTTTGTCCGTTGTCAATGCTCAACCATTTCTTCATCCATGCTACAGGACCAAACTGTGTAATCTTGCTATAGCAGCTAGACTGCGGGGGTGCATATGTTGTTGGCCATACCATGAGGTGCAACGATATGTCAGATTCGCCCTCATACTAGACTTGAAGGAAGCCTGTGCAGAGACTCGTGAGGTAGGTCTTGGTACATGGATATGTAAAACTACGATTTCTCGACTTTCAGAGCAAGTGGAAGACACGTTGGAGTATTAGGACGCATGCCCTCAGGAGAGGTGCCGCGTCACACTGTCCATCAACGACTGATGGTTTCAGAGCAAGAAACGGACAATGAAGTCGGGTACTTGCATATTACTGTATCCACCTGCTGCGCAGGCACGCTCCAAGATGTCGAGAGTGGTAGGTTTAGCTCCATGCCCATTTCCAAATCCTTTCTTACTCCTTGCCATGGCGGTGGCACAACATTGATGGAGCAGCCAACCGATGTAGGCTGCGGCATTTGACGTTGATCCCTGCCTCGTGTGGTGACCGTCAGCATTGCAGGACTTCTGCTCATGGGTTTTCCGGTACCTGAAACTCGATGCAAATCATCATGGAATTTTGCAGGGTTTTCCACCTCATTCCCATCCTCAATGCATTTGAGAACCCAACAGGATGACCGCGTGCATCGCTGATGGGGTAGCCATACAGGACAAGCCAGCAAGGTCAAGGTGTCGCACATCACCCATTCAGTTCTCGATACTAGTATCTCCAGTCTGCCGCCATGTGCCCTTGGGGATACCCGTCAAGGAACTTGGTCGCAGAGTTGACACATGAATGCTGTGCTAGAATGTATGCCAGGAAAGACAGTCCAATCGGCATTCGAAGTTTACAGCTTTCCACCAGCTTCCCCGGAAAGCTCTGCTGTTGCAATGTTTCTACGCACCAAGCTGTCCACTGGTTTTCTCGCAAGGGTTGAGATCCTGTCTCATCGCCGTATGCCAGTCCCAAGGGTCCCACAGGTGCCAGGTCGAGATTGGCATGTCGAAGGGTTACAGAGGCTGCCAGGCGCCTTCCTGAGGATCTACCTCCATATGCGTTGAGGTGATGATTGCCATTCACCCCCCCCTCTCACACGCACTTTATACCAGTGAACTTCACCCTGCTGCAATAGCCGTGCACCTCCAACAAGTAACCAGGCTTAAAAGCCGATACTACAACAAATGGCTGAAAACGTTAGGTATTCCTTGCAACATGATCCATACTACACAGATCTAGTGTGGCTCAGGCACTTGGGTGTATCAGAGGGAAGGTGGCATGACGGGGTAGAAGAGATCAGTCTGCGACTGACCTCCAAGGAGTCCCATGGATGATTGGCGGGTGCCCAGGGCAGATCAGTGGAAGGGCTTGACCTTCTGCCCCCTGTTGCACCTACCCCAGCACGGGGAGTAGAAGTAGCGGCCGTTGTACCACCACCAGTAGTAGCAGTAGTTGTTCCACCTGCCGTACCTCTGGCACCACCAGTAGCTCCGCCAATTGCTGGGGCGGTACCCAGAACTATACTCCTGCTTGCTCTCCATGCTCTCATCTGACAGGAAAGAGGCATTCGGAATGGGGAAAGGGTTCAGATCGAGAGGGGGGGGCTGAGGTCGATGGGACGTGAAGAAGCACCAACGTTCTAGGGCACCATTCCCGCGAGGCCAAGGACACTTGCCAGTAGATGTAGAGCTAGGGTCGGCCGTGGCAATCGCAAGGCTCCCCAGGACGAGGGCTAGCAGGAGGAGGCCGCTCGTGCGCTTCATGACGACCTGGAATCGCTACTCCAGGATGCTGGTGCGGTGTCGATTGGAGTAAAGGTATCTTGCTGCCAGATTTAAATTCAATGCGAGGAAGCAGGGGATCGTTACGCGGCATTTATGCCTTGCAGCCGTGAAGCTACATGAAGCCTGCTGAAGGTAGCCATCACGGAACCATGATCGGCAGTCACGCGCAGCTGTGAGCTCTGGGGTCTCTCGTCAAGGCTTCGAGCCCATCCTGATTGTTTTTATACATAAATTTCGACGGAGAAGCTACTGTAATGAACAGTAGTAGCGCGCTAATGACATGACTCCGTACCATGGCTATTTCGCCTCGACATCCGCGATCATGATGACTGTACTCAGAAGTGTACAGAGCGCCTACACGCGACTCGAAGCCTACGCAAGCCTTCATTTACATTTGAAGCTGAGTATGAAAAGTTGCGTGATGTATTAAGAATGCTAAGTGACGCCGACTCGAGCTGCCACTTTTCAAAAAAAAGTCAGAACACCGGACGTGCACATGTTGCGGCACCACACACACCAGAGATGCACAGTACTTCTCCGTCGAAAACTATAAGCATCTTGTCCGTCGTCATTATCTATCCATGTCCTCATCCATGCTATGGAACTAAGCAATGTCATTTTGGCTACAGGCTGCTAGACTGCAAGTGAGCTTGTGCTGATTTGCCACTCTCTTCACTACCAACGGTACGTCAGATATGTTCTCAATCAGTCATTCAGGTAGCTGTCTAGATGTTCGTGGATTAGTGCTTAGGGTGTGGGGATGTGATGTCTCGTTCGCGCGACCTTTACTGGGAACTTGATGGCTCCTTTAAGCAATAATTGTATGCTGTCATGTGACAATGACGCATCAGCCTCTACTCCTTCAACTTGAGGTCTCATATCAAAAAACTGGCAATCTGGTCGAGGGTCTGCATGATCTTGCAGTCATCTGCTGTGCAGGTACTTGTCGCGATTGCAAGAGTGGCAGCTGCAGCTTCAGGCCCAGATCCCCAAACCTTTGGAGTCCTTTCTATGGCGGTAGCTCAATCCTCATGAATTGGCCCAACCCATTGCTTTGCAGTGCACTGCTCGTTGACGTTTGCTTCGCGTCTCGTCCATCAGTAGCGCAGGTCCTCTGTTCATGCATATCTGCTAGCTGTTGCTCGACGCAGCCAATGGGGAGTTGTGCTAGTACCGACCCTCATTCCCAGCACACGCAATTAGGAACTCTACGCAATGACCGCGTGGGATGCTCAAGGGGTTGCCATGTTTGGCAAGACAGAAGATCCACGTGTCGCACACCTCGATTAAGTACTTCAAACTAGAACTGCCGGTGCCGCCGGCCAACCCTGGGGCTGGGTTTAAATTAAGTGTCCCTGGACATGCCTACTTGTTCTCACCTCCCTTGCACCTGCAATGTTGGTATCTATATTTCAAGAACTTGGTCGCAGGTAGAAGTATCTGATGCCAAGCTACCTATGAATGTCAAGGAGACAGCCATAGTTGTATTCTAGGTTTCTAACTTTCCTCTAGAGCCCACTGAGAGCTCCAACATCTGCAATACTCCTGCACATCACGCTCTGAGTGGTAATCGTGCGTGAATTGGGATCCAGTCGCTTCACGGTATGCAAACTGCTAGGGTCTCAGAGATGCTAGATCGTGGTGGACATGTCGAAGACTCACTGTAACTGCCAGACATTCTTCAGGGGGCCACCTTCCAAACCATCCTAACAGTGCTTCCCATCCAGTATCGCTCTCCTCAATATAAAGAGATTCATTCAAGCCCGTCTTGTCGCACATGCCATGTACTTTGGACTAGTGATCAATCTTACAATGCCGTTACTACGATTGATTGCTGAATATGTACTCATCATGGCAACATGATCCTCACTACACAGATCTGATGTGGCTCAGGCACTTTAATTATTCGGAGGGAAGGTGGCATGACGGGGTGGTGGATGACGCAGTCTGCGACTGACATACACAGGTGTACATGTAAGATTGGCGGGTGGCCGGGGCGGATCAGTGGAAGGGGCGGCGCCTCTCCCCCCTGGAGCACCTACCCCCCGGGCAGAAGTTGTAGTAGTAGTGCCCATTGTACCACCACCAGTAGTAGCAGTAGCTCCTGAAGCCCCTGTACCTCTCGCACCAGTAGTAGCGCTGCCAGTCGTTGGGACGATACCCAGACCGATACTCCTCTCTGCTGCTCTGCAGGGGTGAGCTCCTCTCGAATCCTGAGATGAGATGAGGGGGAAGAGTGGAGCACATTGCCTGAGATTGAGGATTTGGCTGAGGTCGAGGGACTGTCAAAGCACATCAATGCATCGGGATACCATGCTATCGCGACCTACGAAACTTGCCATCATCGGCCGCGGCGATGGCGAACGCCGCGACCAGCATGGTCAGCAACAGGAGTGCGCTAGTCTTCTTCATGGTTAAACTCTGCGGACCAAGATTGGGAGGAACGTGCAGTGTAGAGCCGATACGGTCCTACTAGAGTAATGATATGGCACTCAATCTGGAATTAACACGCCTGCTCCACTCGTATATGAGGGTTCATGGCACGAGATTTCATGATGCCGTCATTTGATTCTGGTAGACGCGGGATCCCTTAGGGTTCGACCGTTTCCCTCTATTTATGACCTTGACTGATGGTTGCCCGCACTGCTAGAATCCATTCTACCAAATTAATGCTTTAAATTCCCGTTACAGGCTATATGGGCTCGCAACAGAAAAAACCGCGCATGCTCACCAGCATTGACCCCGGTTCAGCTGATCCTGCGGATCTCGAGACAGCCACACGCGGCAATAATCTGCATCACACGAGGCCGTACTGCCGCGGATTTCGTGATGCGGGTGTCGCCAGAGGAGTCTAGGTGACCAATCTCCCATGGTTTTGAGCCGATCGAGCCCCTATCGGCCAATTGCCATCAATACCGCTTGAGGGCTGCGGGGGTTCGTAGGCACGTGCTACGGGAGCGGTCCAGGAGCAAGCCTGCAAGGTAGAACTCCTTGCGACACCATATGGAGAAATATTGCCCGACTGCGCTTGAAAAATCTAGGTTGACTCATATGCATTGAGAGAGCCTCGTGGCTTGAATAGGGGCCTTCGCGACCGATTGTACCGTTCGAGAACCCCTAGGTACTAATCTCAGCGACATGCTCGTGGCCTCGAGGGGTAGGTAGTTTTGAGACTTGATCATCATTTTGGTCCTCATACTAGCAACAATGATACTAGTTCATCGTGGGCCCGCTCCAGAAAAGGAGTACACCACCTCACTCGTCGAACCTCTCTTCCCTCATCTGGGATTGGTCAGCACGGGACATAAACTGGACTAACGTCCATCAGAAGAGGAGTATACTGCAATACATCTAATTCGGATGAAAGAGCAATCGCCCCAGCGGTCCATCCTGAGTGAGTGCACAACGCCTGCATCCCCGGAACTTAAATCGGGAGACCCCGGCCTTCGCTCCGGGACCTCGGACGACAGCGAGGCCTGCGCGCACCGCAGATGCGCGTCGCATTGCAGGAGTCATCCGCAGCTACTGAGCTTGAAAAAGTCCATACCATGCTTGGCAATCTGGCTTAGTAAATTCGGAGGCTGTGCGTTGAATGTCCTAATCCCGCAGTGACCATGCCCGCATTAAGGAGGGTCAAGATGCTGTAGTGAACCAGTGCATGTGCCTTCCCTCGTTGCAGGTGCGTTTCATGCATGCATGGCTACTGTGGGTTGTTGAACTCACCTGCCAAAAGTTTACCACGTTCAAGCTGTAGTCCCAGAGTTTGAATGACAGAGTCAGCCCTTTGAGCAAGTAAAAAGCCGACATAATGCCAAGACTGAAATGCCCCCCCCTCCCTTGAGGATCTGGGAGGGAGAGCTTGGCTGTACTTACATCCCTGGCCCCTAAGCTCTGAGGTTCCTCATGGTATATTATGGATGTCACTGACTCAGTGAACTGGTATGGGATCAGCAATGGATGAGGGAGTGCGCAGCAACTAGCATCAATGCATGGAGTGCCTGCCCGGCTTGGCATCCACCTCCCCACAGCTGGCAGATAAAGACGTGCAAAGGTCTACAGGACACCTCAGGCACTTTGATGGATGGAGCATGTTGTCAGCACTTACGGATACTTTCTATCGACAAAAATCTTGCTTCCAACAAAGCAGCTCCCGTGGGACCCACACCAAACCTCCTCAAGCTCCCAGGAAGATCAGAAGCGATCCGACCAGGGCCGTGTTCTTGAAGAACTGCAAGGTGTTGTGGGTGAGACGTGAGATATCAGGCTCACATCTGAGAATGTAAGAAGCGCATCCACGTCCTACCCTGCACCCACGCAGATGATCAGGAAAATTTTACTTCCTCTCCCTCTGGCCCCGAAAGACAACTCACATTGATGATGTCATTGAGTTGCTCAGGGCTGCTGGCGGGCAGGTCCCAGAATGCATGCATAATGGGCGTCACAATCACCAGGAAGAGGAGCTGGAAGTGGGGTGGGGATGGAACAGGGATGTAAGACGAATTTCTGATGAGACGCAAGTTGTTCATGGCAAGCACACCATGAGCACAACCGGCCCACTTCAAGACGTCACGCCCTCACCAGGAACTGAGCACCGAGCTTGCTGTTGAAGATGAACAGCAGGCCACCGATGAGCTCCAGGAGGATAGCGATGAGCAGGAAGTAAGGGTAGGTCACCTGTCGAATGTTTGGGGTCCGAGGACCGTCATCAGCAATCGATCGATGTAGTCCTCGGGCCACAGACATGCCCAGTTGTCAGCTGCCTTCCACATCTCCCACCACTCCATCTAGCCCCATCCCACCTTGCCGATGGGCAGCTTGGTACCCGCCAGCTCCTCCACTTGCGCGAAAAACTTGTCCAGCTTGGGCTCGACATGCTCCATGTCGGGGCCGCCCTGTGTGGGGATACAAGTGGACCAGTGATCGCGGGGTCTCTAGCAGTAAGGTACGGCCGGGGATGGCATAGAACACCACCCATTCCACCCCTAAGACTCACGGAGACGATGTTGAAGTGCTGGATCTTCTGCAGACCGCTGCTCAGGAAGAGGAAGGCGAAGAGCACCCGGCCCGTGAACGAGAAGACGCCCATGTTGCCAGTCGCGCTTGTTCAAGAATGGTTGCGTTACTACTACTGTTCACTCTGTTGTGAAGGGTGACGAGATAATGAGCTTCTTGGTCTTAGGACGAGTATTATGGGGAGCCGTCCATTCCGCTTCGAAACTGCGTTCCGAAAATGATCAACAGCTCGCAGGCAGCATCAGCCGATCCGGCAGAGAGTCGGTGCACTTCCCAAGGTGCGATCACGCATTTGATAACATGCCGAATATCAAAGAGGTTCACATAAAATGTCAGCCGCTTGAAAGATCGTCGCGTGATCCCCGTTGCCCCCCGTTGTTATTGGCACTGAGCCGCAAGAAGCCAGAGGACCTCGCCCTGCCCCATGGCCCATGCCGGGCCCCAGGCCCTCCTCCAAGACGTCATCGCCTCGCTCGCCCTCCCTGCCGAGGACTGGGAGCGCCGCGTGGCGGGGCTGAGGCAGCTGGCCAGCCTCGCTCCGCTCCTGGCCGCCCTGCCCGATGCAGCCGAGGTCCTGCTCGGCCTCCATGCCACCTTGTCCCGGCAGGCACGCGGCCATGCTGGCCACCCACTCCTGCCTTTGTCCCCCTGCCATGTCACTGCATGCACGGACGCGACGGTGCCTGTGCAGTTCATCTCACAGTCGCTGCGTCACCCTCTGCCCCCTCCCTTACCACACCACACCACACCAGATCCTGGACAGGAGGTCTGCCGTGGCGCGGGAGGCCCTGGAGAGCACCGCCCACCTGGCCACCAGCTGCGGCCGGGCGGCGGAGCAGCTGGCGGTGCAGCTCTACCCCGCGCTCATGGCCGCGCTGGCGACCACCATGGGCGTGGTGTGCGAGGCGGCCGAGGCCGCCTCGCGCGCGCTGCTGGCCCACGCGCCCTCCCGCGCGCTCCTGTGCCTGGTCTGTGCCACCGCCGCGCGCGACCGCAACGCCCGCCTGCGCGGCGCGGCGGCGCGGCACGCGCTGCGCGCGCTGTGCGACTGGGACGGCTCCCTGCTGGAGCGAGGCGCGGAGGCAGCGCAGGCGGCGGCCGCCGCCGCCGTCGTGGACGCCAGCGCCGAGGTCCGGGCGGCGGGTAAGGAGGTGTGGGCCGCCTGCGCCGCCCGCTGGCCGGACTGGGCGGCGGGGGAGGTGGCCGACGCGGGGCGGCGGGACGCGGGGCTGTGCGAGCGCCTGTCCCAGCTGCTCCCCCGGCCCGACCCCGAGCCCGAGGAGGTGGGCCGGCGGCGCGTCGGGCTCACATTGCGCCGGGCCGACCCGGGCGTTGGCAGCGCAGGCCTGAGGCACGACGCAGTGGGCCCAGGCAGGGCCGCCGTCCGCCTGATCGATCCGGCCCCGCTCGGAGGGCAGGCCGCCCCGACCCCCTACGCTGGCCTGCGGCGAGGCGCCCCGCCCTTGTTGGGCCCCACAGACTCGGAGAACGTCGACGCCAATACCGGACCCAATCGGCAGGGGGGCCTGTTGGCCCCGTGTGCCAAAGGATCTGAGGCAATCTGCAAGCCCGCCAGGGACTCTGAGCAGGAGGCCCCCGCCCCACCCCCCAGGGGCAGCCGCCCGCACGATGCGGCGTGCCTCCCGGCGCCGCCGCCGAGCGCGGCCGCACGCCTGGGCCGCAGCAGGAAGTCGATCGGGGGGGCGGCGCTGCGTGTGGCCCTGGCCAACAGGGTGAGCGGGCTTGGGTGTGCTGGGGCGGGCAGCCGGCGAAAGGGGTGCCGGGGTGTGCCTGAGGGGAGAGAGACGCAGGTCCACACCCGTGGCACCCAGGTGCCAGGCCATCACCAGAAGGTATGCCAGGGTTGCACCGCGCTCCCAGCCCACGCGGCCGCCATGATAGATCGTCCGACACACTCACGCTGCAGCCCTGCCCAACCCCCGCCGCAGGCTTGCTCCCTGGAACGCGCAGCTGCGGAGGAGGGCGAGGCCCTGGCCGACCCCGGCGTGGCTTCTCAAGCCATGGCCCAGCAGGCAGACGGCAGCGCCGACCCCCAGGAGCCAGCATCGAGTGCAACGACCGCGCAGACCTCCACGCCGCACCACCCCCCCCTCCCTCCCCCGCCCCCGGCGCCGCGCTGGCGTCCCTGGTGGCCAGGCTGGGCGCCCCCGGACAGGGCTGGCGGGAGCGGACCGCAGGCCTCGAATGCCTGGCCCGGGAGCTGCGCCCGCGCGACGACGGGGGCGGCGAGGCGCCCTGCCTGCGCCTGCCGCGCCACCTCGGCGACCGCCTGGCGGCCGTGCTGCACGACGCCACCGCCGAGCCGCACGCCCGCGTGGCGGCCGCCGGGCTGGACTGCCTCGCCCGCGCGCTGGCTTCCCCGGGCCTTGCCGTGGCGCTGGAGGCCCACCTCGAACGCCTCGTGCCCTGCATCTTCCTCAGGTGCAGGGTGGGGTGGATGCAGTGCTCGGAAGGGACATGGGCGTCGATGTGCGACACCCCCCCCCCCCCCGGGCCGGCGCTCCCTCCCGTTGCTTTGACGGAGACACCTCGTTCCAGCCATGCTTCTATCAGTACGCAAAAGCACGGACACCTCCACACCCCCCCCCCTCCACTATCTCACCTCCAGGATGGTGGACGTGAAGGAGGCCCTGCGCCAGGGCGCAGAGGCCTGCCTGGCGCCGCTGACGCGCCTGCCCGCCCCCGACGCGCTGTGCGCCGCGCTGGCGGCGACGCTGGC